ACACAAACAATTAACATAAATTAATATACAATTAATTAACAATAAATTAACAAATAGGAAGCAAAAAGAAAAGGTTAAAAGGAAAAAAGGATAAATAAGGGAGACTGAAAAGAAAATTAAAACGAAAAAATATTTTGTGCTTAACAGCTTGCTTGATAGAAAAAACGAAAAAAGGAGGGGAGGAATGAAGAAATAAAGGAAGGAAAGAGAGAGGGAGGAAGGAATGAAGGAATGAGTGAAGGAAGATTGGAAGGGAAGAATGAAGGAAGGTATAAAGGGTGGGAGGAAAGAATGAAGGAATGAAGGATGGAGGGAAAGAATGAAGGAACGAAGGATGAAAGGAAGAAATGAGGGATGAAAATATGAAAGGAAGGAGGGGAAAGGAGGAATTAATGAAGGATGGAAGGCAAAAAGGAATGAAGGGATGAAAGAATGAAGGAATGAAGGATGGAAGAGAAGAATGAAGGAATGAAAGAATGTAAGAACGAATTAAATGAAGGGATGTAAGAATGAAGGAATGAAGGATGGAAGGATGAAAAGAAGGAAGGAATGAAGAAAAAAATGAGGAAAGCAGGAGGAAGGAATAATTTTCAGTTTTTTTTTTTCCATACTTTATTAATTATTTTATCAAATAGCAAATAAAAAACAAATAGACATAATATTGAAGGAAGAATTAGGATGAAAAGGAAAGAAATGAAACTGATTTGTAGCTGTTTATACGTGATAATGATACGTGATAATATCTTTATCATTTTATCATTGTACGATGAATGTATACATTTTGAGTGGAAAGATTTGTAAACTTTCCTATTTTATTTTATTTTTTTTTTCATTTTTTTTTTACTTTTTTTTTCATTTTCAAAATGAACAACTAAAAAGCCTTTAGCTTTTAGTGAATTAAAAAAAAAAAAAAATGAATAAAAAAATAAAATAAGGCAAGAAAAAAGAAATTGATGATTGATAAGGATAGAAAATAATCAGTCAAAATCAAAATTAAAAATGATTGTATGATAGTATTCGTTTAATTAAATTTTTACATTTTTCAAAATAATGAAATTTAATTAAGTAATTAAATTTTTTTCCACACATTTGGATTAGGTAAAAATATAAAATGAAAGAAAGAGAGGAGGATGGAAAAAAAAAGGCAAAAAGGTGGTGAAAAAGAAAGAAATGGAATTGTAAGAATGAGGAATTTATTTAAAATTGCAAAAATTGTTCGATTATTCTAATTTGTATTAATTACTGATACAGCTAATTAATATAAAACAGTGTAACAGCTGTTAAAACATATGGTTAGCATTTGAATGAAATTTTAAAAAGTATATGATGCAATAGATAGGATGTAATTAGATCCGGTGAAATGAAAGTAAAACTTAAACTTATAAAGTTTAAAAGCTATTTAAATGGAATAAAAAAAAAATTGTTAATATGAAATTACAAGTTTGAAAATATTTAAATTAGAAAAAATAAATTCCATTAATACGAAATGTTTTATGCAAATGTTTTTAATTATTCTGCAAAATGGAAAATATAATAATTTAAAATATTGTAAAGATTATTGCATAATATACGGTACAGAGTTTTTTTTTCTTTTTTTATTTGAAAAATTAATTCTTAATTCAAAAATGAACAAATATACTGATAATAGTGAAATTTTGAAATTACTCCCAATAGCTTTGTAAAATTAATTAAGGCATAATCATAATTGCAAACAAAAAAGTGTAAGCTGATGATTGCATCGATTTATCGCTTAAATTATAAACTATCTATAAATATAAGCATTCTTATCAATGATATGAGACATTTTGAAATTTAATCTTTTCCCATTAAAACTTAAGGTACAAATATTTGTTGAAATTTAAAAAAGAAGAAATGAAAATTTTAACAATTAAATTAATTTTCATTTAAATAATCATTCTTGCAAATTGCTGACGCAGCCGTTAAAATAGTGATGGAGAAAGATGTAAATAATGTTGGCATTAACAGTGATAATAATAATAACAACAATAAATTAATAATAATAATAATAATAATAATAGTAATAATAATAATAAATAAATGAATAAATTAATTAATTAATCAATCAATTAATGAATAAATAAATCAATTAATCAAGCGAGTTATTAAGTTAAAATTTAATTTCTTGAAGCTAATTAAACTAGTGATAATAATAATAACAACAAT